TATTTAAAGCAAAGGAAGGCTTGGTCAACTGCCTTTTCCTATCTTATATATATTTTCTATTCTGTGCAGGTATTCCCATAGGATAGCACTACAACCATTTCTTAAGTACTTGACTCAAATCTTGAACAAATTCATCAAAATCCTACAGGCTTAATTGCTTCAGGTAAATTTTTTATTTTCTTTAATTTCGTTACCTGAAACCATTTCTTTAATTTCTTTAATTACTGCCACATCATTCTATTCCACTTTAATTTTTTTGTATAATAAAGTCCATCTAAACAAGAAGAGAACCATTTAATTATGAGGATATTTTGTAGTATTACTTCATCTTAATAAGGCTAATTAAGGTTTTACTTTGCATTTGCATATTGCAATAGATGGATTTTATTGGTGTTCTCTTGTAAATTTCGCTTTCCATATCAGGAGAGTGCAACAAAATGAAGGGGGATGGCCTGATGTCCATGGAGGATTGAGATTCTTCTCGTTTATAATTGGTAAGAAATCAACATTGAACAAGTTTCAATTATCTTCTCTCTTATTTCATCCTTAGATCTCAATTGTCAAATGTTTCTCTCTACAATAAGGTGGACCTTCTTAGTATAGAAAATCTTTAGAACATCTCACTCCCAATATCTCTATCATTCACATTTTTTAAGCAACGTACTTGAATTCATCTATTCTTACAATATGGCAATGATACAACTACTGTATTCCTTTTTCATTCAGTTTTCTTAACAATGAATTGATTTACATAGTATGCTTCAAGATCAGATGTCTCGATGAATAAATGGTAGTGTACTTAGGATCCATCATGGTTGCAACAACAAACTTCTACCTTCCAAACAATGACCTCTCTGGTAATGCAAGAAGGTGGTGCATCCTTCTTTTTAAGGCACTTCAATTTCCCTACTGTGCTTGACCTTCTCATCCCCGCTGTTGTCAGAGAGATTTTCTATCTTTTTGTCAAGAAAATGCTAAGATTTAATTCACTTTTGTAGGACATGGATTTTCTTGGAGTTTTTCTGGTAATTTCTCTAGCCATATCAAGGATAATTTGAGGATATGTATGAAGATGGATGGATGGAGTACTGCCTTCAGGTAGCGTTATGCTCAAATCATTAATCCTTTATCATGCAAATCTTAAAAGTTTAAATTCAAATTATTGGCAATAAATGCACTTTTTGGACTATTAAGGACTGCCATTTTACTTTCTTTGCCCCTTCATTCAGGATCAGTCTTTTGCATATCTGTCCATCACTTCGGTGTTGAGAAAAACACTCTTCATGGATGCATAATTGAACTGAAAGGGTGGTATATGAAGCCAAAGCAGGGGAAAAAGTTACTGGTTAGTGGCTGCATTTTTGGATCATTCTAAAAATGAATTGATTTGCTAATTACTATGATGGTGATTGAAGAATTTGTTTTTCACGATTTATTGTTGTTGACAGTTTCTAGCCTTGCCTAGAAAGAAGCTTTGTAATTAATCTTGACATTTCAATAGTGAAAGTTATCTAGCAGACTATATGTCTCGTGATTTTTTTATTGTTTTCCACATTAAAAATTTGATGTCTTGAGCTTAGTTTAAGGGTACTGTATTGTTGATGTAATAGTAGGTTTTTTTGTTTTTTAATATCTCAAAAAAATATATAATATATTTAATATATTTAATATTTATTTTAATTAGCTTTTTATATTTTTTAAAATAATAAAAAAACATAAGAGCCAAAAAAATATTTTTTAGGTTGATTATTTGGCATTCAATTGCATACAGGGGGTTAGTTGCTTGTTTTATTTGTGTGCCATCCAATTGCACAAGGGGAAAAGAATATTTTTGCAGAGCCTTCTCCCAACGCACTAATATCCACACAGACCGGTTTTTGAAAGCTAGAAAGGCCCGCCTAAATCTTCATGATCCAGGCTCAAGCTTTAGTTATTATCATTAATTAATACATAATTATTTGATCATAAGCATCCACCAAGGGAATAATCTCTGATTTCCTATAGTTGTTTCAAATATAAGAAATATAAAAGATTAAAATCATTTATACATTTCTTTCAATAGAATACTTAATACTTTGAAGCCAAGAGGTCAGGCATAGTTTCAATCTAGAACAGTGAGGCTGACTGATCCTTCATTTCCAATCCTTCAAACCACGTCTATTATACATGCATCCAGGTGAAAACATGCGAAGCATCATCCTCCTGGAACCACAAATCGATCATCTCAACAAATAATTATCATTAGTCGGTTTACACATTATAAAGTCATAACTTCTTTTTACCTTCGCACTTATCTTTGCAGTGGTTGCATAACAGTACCGCTCATCACCTACAAAAGTTAGCAAGTCAACTGAATGCACAAGAAGATCAGTAGACACATCACAGTGTTAGTGACAGCTTGAACAATAGTGGCATACAAATTGCGTAAATATGAGCTACCTTGTAACCAGTTGGCTACTTATATTAGGAGTAACGGCTCATATTTGAATGTGGAACGTTTCTAAGAAATGGCTAAAATGAAGCACTTGGATGACAAGTTAATCCTTAGAACACTAATCCTGGGATTCTTGGCATGCTATGTCAATATGTCATCCAAGTTTTTTACCTTGAGAGGACAAAGCTTAAAACAATGATTTGCTCTGGAGAAGCATTTAACAGATTTAAAGAGCCTGCCATGGATTGGTCTCTATAAATAAAATAAAAAGGAAAGCAAGGATGGGCTCAAAAGCAAATATTACAAGCAAATTCATAATAAATGTAGTTACTCTCATACATCTAAGTTGATATATAAGTTGGAGAGACAGACAGATACTCCCATATCCATAAAGAGACGAATGCTAAAAAGGTGCATAAATAAATGCAGATGAGACACTCCCGATTAATTTAAAATGAAGCTGAATATAGAAGAATATAAAGAAATCTCACCACATTGCTCCCACTCGTCGAAATTCACCAGATAGACACTCCCTTGATGGTGATTTTAGCCTAATAAATCGAAATGAAATTACGAAATTGAAATGGGTAATCCTTCACCTTTCCAGTATGGTTCAATCCGACGCCAAATCTTTTGACTGATACTATTAAATCTCTACAATATACTCTCAAACTTCGAAAATCAGAAGATATCTGGATCATTTTCATTACAAATTCACAATCGGGTTTCAAATTTTGATCATACAAATTTTCTTAATGAACGAAAAAAATTCAAAATTGAGATAATACATAGAATCGACATTAAAATTGAATCCACATGGAAACAACCAAAACAAACAGCAATCACAAATCGGCATCTCAGAACAGACAACCAACAAAAACAAACAAGAAAGTGTGGAATTACACGTCAAAAAAAAGAAAAAGAAAAAGAAACTTTCCGTTTCCTTTGCGGTTTCAACCAATCATAACAAAAGGTATTAAAAAATCGAAACTACGAATCGGAGGACCAAACCGCTTTGAGCAGCAGGGATCATCAGGCGGTGAAGTAGAAGATCGGATGGAGAATAAGGTGGAGGAACATAAAGCAGGCGCAGGAGATGGAGAGGAAGACCACGCCGTAGACGATCCTCAGTGCCATTTCTGAGATCAGAGGTTGAAGAAGAGTGAGATTGAATTAAGGCGCATTTCCCTTTATATTTCAGTTTTTTTTTTTTTCGAAGAAAATTTTTGTGGTCTTAGTTTGCCACTGGGCCTTATTAGTTGTTAGACTAGACCGACCTAGAATGGGTTTTGGATTTGGACTATTGATTTATGTTTTGAACTTAGTTTCCAACTTTCCTTTACCTAGGCTTAATTTGTTAATGGGTTTAATAATTAGTTTCATGGGCTCACACTTTAATGCTGTGGTGTTAAAATTTATTCAGTAACAAGTATCACATTTTGGCGAATTATTTGATACTATTATTATCTGCTGCGGCAAGAAATTTATACAACTAGATGGTCAATGTGTTCACAATGACAGAGTTTACATAGATTAATTTTTTATTTAAATTGCAAGACAAGAACCATTAAATAAGAAAATAATTTTCAATATTAGAAGCTTGTTCCTATCCCATATTTTTAGTTTTGCAATCCAACCACAACACTTTTTTATTTTGAAAAAGGTTTGTTCATCCACCATAGAAAAAAAAAAATTATCTTGAAAGGAAAACAATGCTAAGATACTAGTTCGATTCAATGCTGGCTCAGTTTTTCTTTCTAGTAATATTTCCTTTCTTTTTTGCCTTCTTTTAGAAGAGCAAAAGATGCTTTAAAATAATATATTTGCTTTCCTGCAAATTATGGGGGACTCCAGTGCTCCTTGGCATGTTATACTTAAGTCAGTCCATAAAACCATCACAAATTTCTGCAAAACTTCACACTTGAGTCTTCCAAATAAAACTATGGTGGGCCCTGCAAAGGAAGGTAATTTCATTTCATTAGTGAGAAATGAAGAAAATACTTGTCAGGAAATAGGAATGAGGAAAAGAAATCAGAATATTTCTTTCCTCCTTATAGTTACTGTTAATTTTATCAGTACTACCAAAATTATTAAATTTTTATTTTAATTAATTATTAAAAATAATTAATAATTAATATTTACTATTTAATAATTTAAAATTAATTTATAAATATATATTTTTAAATATTATAATTAA